GAGCCGAAGTCGGACGCTTAACCGACTGAGCCGCCCAGGCACCCGGAGAGATGTAATTTCTATACCATTAAATTCACCCATTTAAAGTGTGCGATTCAATGGGTTTTAGTATATTTCTGGATGTGTGGAGCACACAATCCAATTTTAGAACATTTTGTCACCCCCCAAAAGAAACCAGTAGACATTAAGCCCATCTCCCCCTCTCCCCAGCCCCTGGCAACCACCGATCTACTTTCCATCTCTGAGGATTTGCCTATTCCGGACATTAGGTTTAAATGGAATCATACAACATATGGTCTTTTATCTTTCACTTCGAAAATGTTTTTGAGATTCATCTGTGTTGAAGCATGTACCCATGAATATGCCTGTAGCCCAAAATAGCAACATTTTCACACCAGAACAGTTTCCTTCTTTCTCCCTCTTTGAGAGGGACATTGCCGCAGCCGGCCGTTTTCTTCCCGTGTCTTACCCTTATTTCTAAAGTAGATGGGAAGCTAGCTACTGACACTTTTTGTCATTCGTAATCTTACGCTTTTCTCCTCAGCTTCATCTGTTTCCATGGGAAGGAAGGCTCTGTATTTAGTGACATCCATCAAAAGGACTAAAAGAGTCTTTCCTGCGCGTGTCTAATGCCCACTTTTCCTCTTGAGCTTGCAAGGTACACTTTGAGAAACAGCAAAGCCTCGAATTTTCTTGCTGTGGTAACGGGGTTTCCCCACGAAGTGGCCCTTTGGGCAAAAGGGCGGCATGAGCCCCTGTTGCACCCACCTAAGGTCGGTGCGTGGGGGACATCTCAGGCGCTCTAGTGGAAACCCGTACCATGGGGAGGAATCTCGAGAACAATCCACGTAGGGAGAAAAACATACAACCACATAATCAAAATCTTTTCCTCTTTCTCCTTTAAAGGCTGACCCGTTTTCTGTCGCTCATTCCAACAATGCTATTTTCTGGTATTATAAAATGTTGCAGCCAAACAGGCTTTTGCTTTGGTTTGCCAGCGTTTCGGTGATCAAATCATATTGGGGGCCACACTGCCGTGTTGCTGCTCCCTTGGGGGCAGCTTTTCCTGTCAAGCACTTGTCCTTTCTTTGCTCATTTCCGTAAGGATCCGGTGCCTCAGATCCCCAGCCTGTCTATAGACAAACACTTTCCGCTTTCCAGGGGGTGGAGGCTGGGAGGGAAAACACATCAGAAATCTGCCCGACGTCTGACCGAACACAGGAAGTGGCTCTGAAACCAGGTCCGCCTCTTAGGACTCTTCGTCTCCACAGGCAGACGGTGGCAGTACGTCCCCCTCCCTTCTTTTTGGCCTTCTCTCTTTCTGCAGAATGCAGAACCCAGAAGGCTCTTATCTGAACCCTGGGTTTGCTCAGTCGCGGATGCATAAACCCCCCTCAGTGACAGACGCAGCCTCTGGGCCAAATTGATCTGGTTATCAAGGCCACACTGTCAGTGACCCACAGGCTTTGCCTTTGACCCCCCCCCCCCGGCCCCCAGAAAGAGGATCTTGGCACGACTGACGTTGGCCCCACTGACAGGGCCTTTCTGTACCTCAGCCACGCCCAGCTTCGCTAGAAGGTGGGGTGGAACCAAGTGTCTCCTGGATTAACAACCCCCAAATCGACTAGATGCCAATTGCTCGTGCGCTTTGCAGTTCTTGGGGAGCAGCTGTGAGACTAAGGCGGTGGCTTCACGTGTGCATTCACTCCAAGGGCCACGGGGCGCCACCGAGCCTGTCTGGGCTTTCCAACCAGCTGCCCGCTCAGCCTCAACGAATGGAACATCTTCGCGCCATTCCCCCCCCTCCGCCCCCCTGTTCCTCCTGGAGCCTTCCCCGCGCCCAGTAATTGGCAGGTCTATCCTCCCAGTGCCTCAGGCCTTGAACCTCTCTTTCTGTCACACCCACGTCATCTGTCAGCAAGTACTCTTGGCATTGCCTTCCAAAGACAGAAGCCAGCCGCTTCTCATCACCTCCATTGCCACCACCAGGGTCAAGCCCCCATCATCTCCCTTCTGGATGGACCGCTGCTTGCCCGCTTAGGCTCTCCGCTTCCGGCCTTGCCCCAGACCATCCAGTCTACACCCAGCAGCCCGAGGGAGCCTCATAAACCATGATCTGTCTTGTCCCTCCTCTCCTCGAACCCTTGTGAGGGCCTACTCAGGCTAAATGCCAAAGTCCTCACGTGCCCACAGGCCCTGTACTGATTGCGTCCCATACCCCCTCTCTTCATCTCCTAAAACCCTCTTTCATCCCCTGGCTCCAGCCCCAGAGGCTCCTTGCTCTCTCTAGAACACGCCAATTACCCACCCACCGCAGGGTCTTTACACTTAGTGTTCCCTCTGCCCAAAATGCTTTGCTCACAGGTGTCTCACTTCTTTCGGGTCTTTGCTCCAACATCACCTTCTCACTGCAGGACACTTCATTCATTCATTCATTCATTCATTCATTAGCCCTCACCACCCCCAGCCTAGTCTATATACACCCTATGAAGGTGGGTACTTTTCCCATTTTGTTAAGGGCTATATCCCCAACGCCTAAAGCCAGGCCTGGACTATAGTAGACACTCAATGAATATTACTTAATGAATAAACGCTTTGGGGCCAGTCACCATCAAGTATCTTCCATATCAATTTCTATAATCGTACAAGTGCTTAGATAAACCTGTGCACAAGAAAAGGGTGGGGCATAAAGGCCAGAGCAAGTGGTGAGTTGTACACGGGGGACAGAAAAAGCCCCCTTCGGGGGGAAGGGAATAAGCTGGCAGAAAAGTTGGGAGACGAGGGCCTTTAAAGCCAAGAAATCATACAAAGGCATGGAGGCATGAAACAGCCTGGCACGTGTGATGAATTGCAGGTAGTAGAGAACGCAAAAGATGAATCTGGAGAGGCGGGCAGGAGAGAGATGATGGAGATTTCCTTGAGAGACACATCGTTATCATACTCATTTTAGGCATAAGGAAGTGGAGAGATGTGGCCATACAACCAATAAATGTCACAGATGGAGCCTGGACCCTTGCACCGGGGACCCGCCAAAGGGTTTGGAGCAAGAAGGTGGCACAATCCGGTCTGCGTTTCGCCCCACCGGCAGCGTGAAGGGTGGATGAGGCAAGGTCTCTCTTCAGCAGGGAGAGCATCCAGGGAGAGAGAGTAGGAGCCCAACACAGGCAGTGGCAGCGGGGGCAGAGAGGATCGAGGCCCCTGGGAGACGTTGGATATGGGGGTTTAGAGAGAAAGAAAGGGGACTAAGACACATCCCAAGTCTCTAGATGAGATGCTAAGTGAACAGGGAAGCCACTCAGTAGGATAAGAAATAAAGGGGAAGAACAATTTGAGAAAGGTCGTAATGAGCTGAGGTATAAAACAGAGCATTGAGGTAAGATATACATACAGAAAAGTACAGCCCAGTGAATTGTCACTGTCGAACACACCCATATGACCGCACTCACATCAAATAGCAGAATATTGCCAGCCCCCGACTGGCAACCGTGGGCTTTCACCTTGCTGCTCCCCACGCCAGATGTGACCAAGACCCTGATGTCTAATGGCATAGATTACTTTTAAATGGACCCCTATGGTGTGTCCACTTGAGCAAGGGACCCTCCACTCAGCCCTGCAATGTGGTGGCCCACTGTATGAATTTGCCACATGTACCCATTCTACTCTTGATGGGCATGCGGGTGTTTCCGATTTGGGGTTACTACAAAGACTGCTGCTGTGAGGAATCCAGCACAGGTTTTGGTTAGTTGGAGAACATATGCACGCGTTTCTGGTGGGTACTTAGGAGCAGAACTGCTGGGTCCTAGGGCGCATATACATTCAACCTTCCTATAGGCTGCCACGTAGTTTTTCAAAGAAGGTAGACCAACTTACATCCCCACCAGCAGCATAGGAGAGTTCAGGTTGCTCCATGACCTTGTCGAGACTTGGTTGTGTCCAAGTTTAGGTAGGAAGAGACACCTATGGGGAGATGCCCGGTAAGCCGTTCAAAGCAAGAATTGTAATCTTGGGTTTAGCAACATTTATGAGGCGGGTAGAAGAAGCAGAGCTCTCAGAGAAGAGACTGACAAGGGTACTTAGAGTGATGGGAGCACCAGGTGAACTGTGTGATGGAAGCTAAAGGAAGAAGGAAGGGACCGAGAGCATATTGGAGCATGAAGACATAAGGTCGGTGTTGGAAAGAGTCCATTGGGTACGAAAATAAGAAGTCATTGGCAACTTCTTTTGCTAGCACAGGGCTTGGCCTCCAACCAAGATGGCGCTCCTAACCTTCATTGCCATCTGAGAGGATTAATTCTGCCCATAGCAGGTAGGCCAAGGAATCTCTAGGAATGAATAACCGGTGTACGAGGGCCCAGGAGAGACAGCAGTTTGGGGCCGCAGGGGAGGGGTAGCCCTCAACTGCTCTGACTAAAACATATGCTCCCCTTAACTCCCATTGCAGCCTATGCAGAACCCAGTGGCGTGCTCACCGTGTGCATCATCCAGTGTCTTCTCATGGGTCCTCAAGCCCCTTGTGGGCAGAGAGCAAGGCTTCCATTTCAGAAGGCCCAGGCCCTGGGGCAGTGCCAGGCTCACAGTGGACACAGAAAAAGGGGTTTGCAGAAGAAATAAACATGTATTGTTTAAATGAAGGCACAGTTTGAAAAAGATAGCTTTTATAATTGTGATACAAAAGATGAGACCATTCCTCTACTCTCAGTAACAATCTGAAAGGGGTGTGTGTGTGTGTGTGTGTGCGCGCGCGTGCGCGCGGTGGGGGGGCATAAGATTCAACTTTTAGATAGGAAAGTGGTTGAGGGACTTTTATTTCCTATTGCCTACACTCCAGTTTTGGTCAAGATTTTTATAATAGGTATGTGCTGCTTTTGTAATCAGAAAAGAAATGAAGATATCCATTTTGTTGAAAATGGAAAATGGAGCTTTGGTACTTTAGCAAGCACTGCCTAATGGAATCTTCTGCTGTGATGAAAATGTTCTGTACCTGTGCTCTCCGGTACATCAGCCACTAGCCACATGTGGCCAGGAAGCACTGAAATGTGGCTGGTGTGACCGAGGAATTGAATGTTTAATTTTATTAATTTTAATTAATTTGAACGCAAGTAGCTTCATGGGACTAGTGCTTATGCATTGGGCAGCAGAGTTTAAACAATCAGTTTATGCTAATGTACACAAACTCTTTTCCTATTAAATTGTGCATTCAGGGCACTCACTCTTAAGCGTCCGACTTCAGCTCGGGTCATGATCTCATGGTTTGTGGGTTCTAGCCCCGCGTTGGGCTCTGTGCTGACAGCTCAGAGCCTGGAGCCTGCTTCGGATTCTGTGTCTCC